CGCCCCTCCTCCGCCCATCCTCCGCCCCTCCTCCGACCTACACCCGCCCATCCTCCGCCCCTCCTCCGCCCCTCCTCAGCGCCTCCTCGGCCCCTCCTCTGGGCGTCCTCCGCCCCTCCTCCTCCGCCCCTCCTCCGCCCCTCCTCCTCCGCCCCTCCTCCGCCTTTCCTCCGCCTTTCCTCCGCCCCTCCTCCACCTCACGTTGCTCGCCTCCCCTCGCAGGCTCGACCTACCTGCGCTGACCAACTCCCTGTGAACAGCGTCTCTTCACACCTCCAGCTGTGAACAGGCTCGACCTACCTGCGCGTGACCAACTCGCTGTGAACAGCGTCTCTTCACACCTCCAGCTGTGAACAGGCTCGACCTACCTGCGCGTGACCAACTCGCTGTGAACAGCGTCTCTTCACACCTCCAGCTGTGAACAGGCTCAACCTACCTGCGCTGACCAACTCCCTGTGAACAGCGTCTCTTCACACCTCCAGCTGTGAACAGGCTCGACCTACCTGCGCGTGACCAACTCGCTCCTCGCGATGATCATCAACGCCGAGTTCTTCGTCACCCACTTCGTCATCTTCCCCGCGCAGCAAGCAGCCTCGGGCACGGGCTTCTTCGGCGGGTCGAACGCGCTCTGGGAGACGGACGTCCTCAAGCGGCAGGTACCCGAACCCACCCTACCCTACCCCACGGTACCCGAACCCACCCTACCCTACCCCACGGTACCCGAACCCACCCTACCCTACCCCACGGTACCCGAACCCACCCTACCCTACCCCACGGTACCCGAACCCACCCTACCCTACCCCACGGTACCCGAACCCACCTTACCCTACCCCACGGTACCCGAACCCACGCTACCCTACCCCACGGTACCCGAACCCACCCTACCCTACCCCACGGTACCCGAACCCACCCTACCCTACCCCACGGTACCCGAACCCACCCTCCCCTACCCCCACGGTACCCGAACCCACCTGACGGACGTGCTCAAGCGGCAGGTCTTCCGCCACGACGTGCAGACGGAGGACATCGAGCTCTCGGCGCGCACCCTCCTCTCGGGCACGGCCAAGATCCGCCTCTCCTCAACGCGCTGTGAACAGCGTCTCTTCACACCTGCAGCTGTGAACAGGCACGGCCAAGATCCGCTTCTGCCCCGAGGCGCACCTCAGGCTCCGCCGCCACCCTGCGCCTCGTCGAGCCCGGTGGGAGCCTTCTCGGAGCCTGTGCTGGTAGGCGCGCTCGGGCGAGCTGCCGCCCGCCTCTTTCTCGGCGCTCTACAAGCAGCGGATGCGCTGGGCCATCGGCTGGGACCAGGCACCGATTACCCGAGATTGCCCGAGATATCATCATCTGCCGGGACCAAGCGATCTGAGGGAGATGTGGGGAGATGCGGGGAGATGCGGGGAGATGTGGGGAGATGTGGGGAGTCGGCTGGGGCCAGGCACGGGCCGAGGAGAGATCGCTCCGAGAGGGCCCGAGATTTGCCGAGAGAGGTGGCGCGAGTCGGCGGGGCGCAGCTCGCCGCAAGACTTTGCCGAGCGGAGCGGTGCGGTGCGGTGCGGTGCGGTGCGGTGCGGTGCGGTGCGGTGCGGTGCGGGGCCCGGCGCTTCCGCTTGCCAAGTCGGAGGTGCGGTGTGGAGGTTGCTGCTCCGCCCTCCAGACCCCCTCCCTCGGCCGCAAGGTGACGATGCAGCACTTCCGGCGGATCTCTCGCGCGCCGCTGCACCCGTGCCGCAAGCTCTCCCTCTACTACATCCTGCCGATGCGCTGGCTGCTCCTGACCCTCTCCCTCATCACCGTCTTCGGCGTCCCGTTCATGGCCGTCTGGCAGGCGGGCTGCCCCCGCGACCGACCACGACGCCCACGCCTCCTCCCCCTCCGCCCCCGCGCGTCGCTCACGCCGCCGCCGCCCCTCCGTGGCCACGTGTTCCCCTGGCCGGCGCAGGTTCCAATCAAGGGCGTCTCGGGCACCTTCTCAGACCCGATGCATGTGGGCACGCCTCCGGCGCGCCGCAAACACCATCAGCCGCCCTCCCCCGCCCCCGCCTCCCCTCTCACCGGAGCTCGCATCGTGGTGCAGGAGACGCACCCGCTGCTCAAGGGAAACACGCGGCTGCTCGCGCAGTACCAGTGGCTCTGCTTCATGACCATCTTTTTGGTCGTCGTCATCAACGCCACCCTGTACGAGTGGCGCAAGCCGTGGCGCATCCTCTTCGTCGCGATCTTCGTCATGTTTGGCCAAATCTACCTCCTGTTCACTTGCTGGCCCAAAATCTCTCTCGCCGGCTGCGCACTCACCCCCTCGGCCAAAGCCCGACCGTCCTCTCGTCGCGTGTAGGCTTTGCCTCGTCTCGCTCTGGCGCATCTCGCGAGGCGCGGCCCAGACAGACGCCACGCCACAGAAGCCACGCCTAGCACAAACGACGGACCTCTCCGCGCGCCGCACGAGTCCCGCCTCCCCGCGTTCACCCCCTCGCCCCCCCCACCACCACCACCACCACCACTGGCAGGCACCGACTCGGGGTGGGTGGTCACCGACCGCGGGGGGGCGAACAAGACCAAGGGGGGCTTGAACCTGCGGCTGCCCTCCAAGATGGACCTCGAGGCCCTCGCGCGCCAGATGGGCCAGATGGGCGTCTCCACGGTCGGCATCTTCGGCGCGGATTTCGCCACCGCGGGCGCCGCCTCGGAGAAGAAGACTTCCGACCACGTCGACGCCGAGTCCATCTCGAAGGCTGCCGCGGCGTTGGCGGACCACAACCACTCTCAGCGCACGCGCGGCGTCGACGACGACGACCTCCTTGCTGCGATGGGAGGCGACGGGGCCGGTGCAAACGGCACAGCGAGCGGCGCGGGTGCGGCAGCGGGCGAGCTGGCGGTGCAGACTACTTCGGACGGGCGCGGCGGCGAGGACGACCGTCCCGCGTGGCTCCGCTGGATGCAGGGCGGCGGGGGCAACTACCAGGCGCTCCAGTCTCCGCGCCGTTCGCAGCAGCCCCCGCCCACTCCAACGCCGCCGAACGCGCCCACGGTCACGACTCTGCTTTGAGGCGGGGCGCGTCCGCGAACACAGGGAGGGCGCTCGGCCGACAGCGAGAGTGACACCAAGCACCTTCTTTGAGTATTCCGCCGGCAGAGGTGGTTCCTGATGGCTCTAACAGCTTGCGCGCGAGTTAGCGGCGATAGGGGGGGGGGGAGGGGTCTAGCGGTGCACCATGCTTTGCGGGATGTCGATGAGCTGGGGCGAGAGGCTGCTCGATCGGCGATGAGGTCTTGCGCATCCTGTCGCAGTGGCTTCAACCGCGGCGCCTCGAGACGCTCTCTTGAGCCTCGACGCCGATTCCAGTGCGCTGTGATTGTGGCGCGAGGTGTCGTCGTGTCGAGTCAGTGAGACTGGCAGACTCGAGACCGTCCGGTCGACAGAATGCGAATCCGAATGGCACGGTCTGCCGAGCCCCGACGTCTCGCAAAGGAAGCAAGTTTAAAACGCGGTCACATGTCACGTCTCAGTCACTGTGCATTACGTCGATTTTTAGTAAACTTTGAGCTGCTTTCGATAGCCACAGAGCGCGGGCGGCCCCGCTCGGGTTGGCCCATTTGCCATATTATACAGCCCCGGACTGCACTGCCCCCGCACACACGCCCCACCACGCCCGGAGGCCGGAGCTCTCGGTCCACGCTCCACGGTCGCTCGCACGGTCCACGGACCCCAACGCGCTCCCGGCGCACTGTGGGCCAAGAGGGGAGAGAGAGCAGCTCGAAGGCCCTTCTAAGCGTCGAGCAGCGACGCAGCAAGAGCACCCGCACGCCGCTCACCGGCTGCGCGGCGCGCTTGTTGCCTCCTCCAAGTATTGTGGCGCACGTCGCGCCCACGTCGCGCCCACGTCTCACTGCGGCTCGGCGGGCGGCGGCTGGAACTCCTCGCTCTCGTCCGTCTTGTAGAGGATGGAGAGCACCTGCGGGCGACCGGGCGGGCCTCAGCGCCTCGCTGCGCGCCTCGCGGCCTCCTGCGCGCGTCTCGCTGCGCGCCTCGGCGACGGTGACCGTCTCCTTCTCTGGGAAGTGTCTAGGAAGCGTCTAGGAAGTGTCTCGCTGCGCGCCTCAGCGACGGTGACCGTCTCATATATCTCGGCTATATCTCGGCTATCTCGCGCCTCTGCGACGGTGACCGTCTCCTTCTCGCCGAGCGGCGAGGATGCCTCCTTGGTCTGGCACAGCACCTCGACCTCGCGCAGCTTCCCAAAGTAAAAGTCGCGCTCGCGCTCCAGGTTCTCGACCGCCACCCGCAGCTCCGCTGCCTCTCGGGAGTGCTCCTCTCGAGCCTTGCACAGCTCCGCCGCTGCCGCCTCCGCCGCCTCCGCCGCCGCCTCCACCTCGCATGGTGACGGGCCGGCCGATGCCGGCGGCTGCGGCGGCGCTGCGGCGGCCTTGCCCGCCTGCTGCGGCGCTGCGGCGGCCTTGCCCGCCTGCTGGCCGGCTCCGGCGCCCACGCGGCGCGCGCCGGACGAGACGACGTCGCGCGGAGGAGGGGCGCGCTTTGCGGCGGGCGTGGGCGCGGGCGCGGCAGCCGGCCGGCTGGGGAGCGAGTTCTCCTGCGTGGGGCGGGGGCGGGGGACGAGGCTGGGGCGGGTGAGGCGGCGCGGTGCGCCGCGGGCGGCTGGCCGCGTCGCACCTTGGCCTCTGCCGAGGGTGGAGGGGCGGTGGCGGAGCCCAGGTGCATGTCGGCGTAGCACTTCATGAATTGCACAAACTCCATGTTGAACTGGAAGGAGCGCTTGGTCAGCTTCTCCACCTCGATGCGCTGGCTGATCTTCTTCCGGTTGAATCCTGCCTGGAGGCACTTGAAGTTGTGGAGGTAGTCCACCTCTGTCTTTGCAGCCATCTTGACCTTGGACATCTGCACCGACCCTGGGTGGACGGTGTTGAGGATCTGGCAGTAGACGACGCCGCTGGCGAGGTCCTCGACCTGCGAAGGGCGGGAGGACAGACTCTGTGGCGGGGCGAGGCGGGCGTGGAACACACCCGCCGCGGCGGGAGGCGCCTTTTGGAAGCTCGGCTCGAAGTTGTCGCGGATCCACTGCGTGAGCTCTTTGCGGCCAACAAAGTAGCCCTCGTTCATGATGCCTGAATCGCATCACACGGGACGCGTCGGGCGCCGTGCGGGGCGGGCGGTGCGTCACGGCGTGGGGGGCGAGCGGAGCGTCGCGGCGTGGGGGCACACGCCCATAGAAGCCATTTTGGCTGCTGCTTGACTGGCCCAACGGCTTGAAAAAAGAAATTTTTAGCCGCGGCGCGCCCGTCGCGTGCCCAGTGTCGTGCGAGGGAGTTTCGTGTGAAAAAAGAATGGTTAGAGCGCTACGGCCTACACCTGAGAAAGATGGTTAAAATCCCTGTGTGGTGGCGGCGTGCCGTCCTCCCATCCCTCCCTTGGGTTGTCTCTTTTCTTTCTTTCTTTCTTTCTGAGAAAGATGGTGATCCGCAGCTTGTTGAATGCCGCCCCGGGACTTTGAGCGTCGTGAAGGTCTCTGTGCTCGAGCAGCTCGTCCGACTGGTGAATCCACGCATAGGCCGTGGTGGCGACGCTAAAGTGCTCGCCTCCCTTCTATCAGCGTGCCGAAACACACCAGTCCCGTGCCTAGTGTAAAAAAAGAAAGCAAGAGAGCGGACAACCCAACCAAGCGCCAAGGGAGGGATGGGAGGACGGCACGCCGCCACCACACAGGGATTTTAAGGAGAGGAGTGTGGTGCTAGCCGTCGCCCACCCTTGGGCGTCTGGGCAGCTCTGCAGGCAGCGCGCGACGGAGCGCAAGGGATCTTCCCGGCGGCTGCTTCCATCGGTGGCGCACGCGCAGTTGCAGCGCAGCACGGAGCTGGAGACGTTCTGGCTGATTCTGCTGCAGTGCCCATGTTTGGCAATGCTGAGCCAGGTGCGCGCCGCTTCAAATGCGGGCATGCGCAAAGCCTGGGCATCGCTGAAGTCGACTGCGATCGTGGCGTAGCGAGGAGGTTTCTGCTGCAGTGGCATCGAGCACTCTTTGAACCATGAGCAGTCGTCGGGCCTATAGCTTACGTACCGACAGGCCGGGCATCGTTTGAGGCACATGAGGGCACATGCCGTGAGCGAGGTGATGCCGTGCTCAGAGGGAACCCACGAGCCTGACGAGCCTTTGAGGCAGTCACCCTCCGCGGAAGCTGTCTCGGCGCAGAAGCCCGGCTGACGCTGCTGAAACGGTGGTTCGATCGTCGAGAGCGTCGCCATCAATCACGTTGCATGCGCGCACAAGAAGGTCGGAAGGTGGAACAAGAAGGTCGGGCGCCAGACCAGCTCTCAAACTCGGGCCCGATTTGATTGGTTTTCTTGGTCTTGAGCACTTGAGCACTGAGCACTGGATAGGGTCGATTCCGCACGGTACGGGACCCCTCGATCGTCTCCAGAGCTCGCCCTCCCTCACTGGTGTGTTCATTGGGGAGGGGTGGGGGGGGGGGGGGGGTCATAAAAACACGGCACATACGGGATCGAGGTGCCGTTGGGCTGAGGGTATCTTTGTTGAGTGCATTCTGGATTGCGCATCTGGGCGGGCACTTTTGGTGGTGGTGCGCACTCTGCACAGCGCCACCGGCGCCGCGTCGGAGTGAGTGGCGGCCGCCACTCACTCGCGTGGTGCGTTGAGGCCTCTCCGGAGAGCCCTTGTCACCTGAGGGAGGGTGTAGAGGATGTAGAGTGTAGAGCGCTGTAGAGCTGTAGAGCTGTAGAGCGCTGTAGCGCTGTAGAGCTCTACATCCGCCGCGGGACGAACTGCATGCGTTGTAGAGCGATGTAGAGGCGCTCTACAACGTGAAATCTCTACAACAAACTCTACAACGCGGGTTCCGTGGTCAACGGGCGTTCGACCACACCACCGGCCAAGGCTAGAGAGAGAGAGAGAGAGAGATCTGCTTCCCTTCGATTCCCTCGTGCTTAGCTAGCATGTCTTAGCTCCCTCGATTGTGAGAACAATTAAAATATCGACCGAGAAAAAGTCATCCTATTTCGAACATCCTATTTCGAACAGCCGAGATAGCCGAGACATGTCGCCGTTCAGACGCCATCCGCCATTCCCCCCCCATCCAGTCGGTTGCCCTGATCATAGAATCGGTCCGCAGCTTTGCCATGGCGAAGCGCCGCCGCGAGGACGAGGTGGCGGCACCCGTCTCCCAAGCCGTTCGGGCGGGGCTCAAGCTGCAGCGCGAGGACCCGCAGCGCGCCTTCCTGCATGCTTGCCGTCTCCAAATGCGAGTGATGATGGCCGCAAAAAACCCTCTGACCGAGCCGCTGCACAAATTCTCCCACGGCCAAGGGGTCATATGGCGGGAGGACTCGCCGCCCGAGACGCCTGCCCTGTCCGCCTCGAGCAGCTCCAGCGACCTCTCCTCGGGCTGGAACATGGGGCCGCCGGTGGAGGACGACTTTGCGATGCTTGTGGACGAGCTTGAAGACCTGGACGAGGTGGCGTCCGTGGCGGCGGAGCAGTGGGCCTCGCAACTACGGTAGTCGCGAGAGGTGGCGGGTCGGAGGCGCCGCCCCTTCCCCGCCAGCTGATGTATTGGTCCTCTCGGGGAAAATGCCCTCTGCCACAGCACCGGCCACCCGCACCGCGCGTGTACAGTACTCGATCGTTTTGAGAGCGCCGCGTGTCCGGCTGGAGTGTGCGATGGCTCCGTCGCTTGCTTTCCTCGGATCCCGTCATTCCTGTGGCTGTGCTCTCACTCTTGTCTTGACACTCTCTTCGACATGTGTGACTGCTGTGTGTGCCAGAGAGAGAACAGACCATGGGGATGGACATACTCAATAGAGACCAGCGCAGACCACACACTGTCACTGAAAACCTTTGAGCATGCGTAGACATAGGCGTATGTATGTATGTGTGTATGTACACTTCGGCAACACCGAAGAGCGCGCCCGCCTTGCAAACACATGGGCTGCAAGCAACGCGGGTTCTGTGGTCAACGGGCGTTCGACCACACCACCGGCCAAGGCTACGTCAAGTCACAGCGTGGCCACTACCATGATGGGATCTTCACCAAACGAAACAAGTTCAACCTGCTTCTCCACGAGACATTCGGCGGCGGCTTCTCGCCGCCAGCAGTTGCAAAGATCAACCGCCTTGCGCGCAAGGCTCAACGCTCGGGCGTTGACCGCACCGCGTACCCTCCCCACTCCCGCCTCTCATTTGTGTCACACCACGCGGAACGCATCTCCATCGCTTCGCCTTCGGTGAAGGGGGTGAACCGCGCCATCCTCGATCGCCGTGCAAAGCTCGCTTCCGAGCTCTCACGCCGCGCGTAGGGCCCCTAGGGGCCTAGAGAACACAACCCCCTCTCCCTTTTGTCCCAGAAAGCTAAAAGTACTGACTACGTATGGCGTAGGTGTACGTAGGTGCGGAGAGGGGGAGAGGGGGAGAGGGGGGTGGGGAGAAGGGCTGGCGGTGGCGTCCTCAGCCGCCACAGCCAGGCAAGCCTTGAGAGAATGGACGACTCCTGGGTGTCCGACATCTCCAAGGGACAGGGCAGTGAGGCTGCAGGCGACGAGTGCTCGGTGGACTCGCACGACAGCGATCTGCTCGACGGTGTGCTCCGCGAGAACGAGCGATACCGGATCGAGGCGGAGCTCTTGCGCGCACGCCTCGCAGAAGTGGAGCTCGATCGTGCACCCGCAAAACCCGTCCAGACGATCGCGGCGCCGTCGAGCTACCGCTGGTCCACCGTCGGCGTCTTTGTCTGCATCATCTGCTCTTGCGCGCTTGTGGTCAGCCACGAGCGGCGAGAGACACGTATTGCCGAGGAGGCCGCAGAGATGCTCCGCCGAGCGCTCAACAATTCCCGCGCCGAGTACGACGAGCTGCTGGTCCATTACTCCACCCTCAAGGAGCAGCATCGCACCTGCGCCCTGGAACGGGAGGAGCGCAGCCTCGGCCTCGCCCCGGCCCGGGGTCCACTAGACGTGCTACTCGCCGCAGCCCACGTCGTGCTGCGGGCGGGCAGGCGGCTCCTGCCGCTCGATCTGGGGCTGCCCGGCTTCAAGCGGCCTTCGGCCGTCGAATCGGCATGATGAGCTCACAGCTTGCTCGATTCGGGGTTCGGCACTCGCAAGGTGCGCGCCCTCAACGGGTATAGATTTGGGAGAGGAGTGCTGCTGCAGGAGGCGGTGTCATTGTGAAGCTCTTCTCGCCGCGGCTCCCACTCACTTGTCCCCGCTGTGCACTCCCGATCTTCCATAATCTCGTCGGTCGCGCTCTGTTCTCTGGTGAGTGGACTGGTGTCGGCCATGCGCGTGAATCTGAATGTGCGGGCGTCTCACACACCTGTCTCAACTCTCATGACTTCGGCGCGCCCCTGCACAGAAGCGCAACTCCGCCAATCGTTACTACAGTACGAGTCATGCTGACTGTTTCCCCTCGAGGATCACAATCACTACACTCTGTACACAGACTGCCGTTGTGCGTTGAGCCTTGCCCGAGGCCGAGGCCCGAGGCCGAGCGACACATTTGTCTTAAATACTTTAACTTTATATCTCGGCCAAGGCCTTCATCTCCGCGCCGGTGAGATTAAAGCTGAAGCTGCCCAGATCGCTCGCGAGGTGAGCCGGGTTGCTGCTGGCCGAGACGGCCACGACTCCCTGCTGCGTCACCCACCGCAAGGCCACCTGCGAGGCCGACCGGTTGTGTGCGGCAGCGACCTTGAGCACGCGGGGGTGGTGCAAGACGTCGACGCCCGAGAGGCCGCCCAAGGGCGAGTAGGCGGAGAAGGCGATGCCCTTCTCGCGGCACTTTCGGAGGGTGTCCAAGTCGCGGCCGAGGCGGCTCTCGCTGTGGCCGCCGATCGAGAAGCCAACTTGGTTGACTGCGGGCGGGACCGTCAGGCCGGCTGCGAAGAGAGCGTCAATCGCGGAGGCGTTGAAGTTTGAGATTCCGATGGCGGAGGCCTTGCCGTCGAGAGCGAAGCGCTCGAGAGACCGATACGTCGCGACCGTCTCCTCCATCGTCGCGCAAGGCCAGTGGAGCAGCAGCAGGTCGACGCGAGCCACGCCCAGCAAGCGCGTGTCGATCTCCGAGCGGGTGTAGGCGTCGAGGTCCTTGTACTCCTTGTCGTACCACACGCACCACGAGGTGAAGCTCTCGGCGGGGCAGCAAGGCACCTTGCTGGTGAGGAAAAGCTCTTCGCGCGGCAAGCCTGACGCCGCCACCGCATCGCCGACCTGGACCTGTTCACAGTCACGGGTGTGAAGAGACGCCGTTCACAGCGCCGCCCCCGCATCGCCGACCTGGACCTGCACGTCGTCGCCATACATCATCGCCGTGTCGAGCCCGCGCCCGCCGAGCTGTAGCCTGGGGTCAGATTCGGGGCTAGGGATACGGGTTGGGGTGTGGGGTAAGGATTGGGCCGAGGGGTCAGGCTCGCACCAGGCGCTGTAGTTTGAGGGGTGGGAGTGCACGCCGCCGAGGTTGATCAGCGGCATCTCGACGCCCGGGGCGATGGTGACTGTCGGGATGCGCGGCAGCGCTTCCGAAGGCGGCGGCAGCGAAGCCACGTCGTTGGTCCCGATGCGGACGTCGCAGACGTGGTGCCCGCCGGCGCCGCCTCCGCCGCAGTACCAGCGCAGGAGCGGCCTGCCGCGGGAGGGGCAGCCGTGCGCCTAGGAAGGTTCAGAGAAGGTTCAGGGAAGGTTCCCAGTGCCTGCCGCGGGAGGGGCAGCCGTGCGCCTCGAGGTCGTGCACGTGAGACTCGAGGCACGCGTCGCAAGCGTCGCCGCGGCCGCGGAGGCCATGGCAGAGCTCGGCGAGCCTTCCGACGCACGCGCGCGAGAGCGGGTCCTGCGGCAAGTGCGGGCACGAGCCACCTCCGCCTCCGCCGCACGGCAGCTCGCCGCAGTCGTCGGCGAGGCGCGCCGGCGCGCCGCCCGTCTCGAAGAACCACGCGGCGAGCGAGTCGAGCATCGACACGCCTAGGAAGGTTCCGAGAAGGTTCAGGGAAGGGTCCCAGTGCGGCGAGCGAGTCGAGCATCGACACGCCGCGGATGAGCGGCGCGGCGCTCCAGCCGAGGTTCGCGGCGTGGCTCAGGCAGGACGGGGCGAAGTAGCCGTGTGGAGTTGCCTCGGAGCCGAGATCGCGGAGTGTACCCCTCACCCACCTGCCCCACTGGCGGAGGTACGAGGTGTCGTTGGCGGTGAGGGCGGCGCTGGCGTCGCAGCCGCAGTTTGCGAGCTTCGCCGTGTCGTACTGGTTCTCGCGCACGAAGAGAGGCGTCGCGAGCGCGCGCCACGCAAAGGCGGCGTCGGTGCACTTTGAGGCCTCGCCTGTGGGACCTCTCTCGGACATGTCACGGACCCGTCCGCGACTTGGCCGGTGCACGTTGCGGCCTCGCCCGGATACAGCGCGGCGCAGCGCGGCGAGACGTACGGCGCCCACTCGGCCGCGAGGCCTGCAGTGCGGCGGAGGGACGCCGGTGAGGCCGCGCGGAGCTGCGGGGCGGAGCAGCTGCGGGGCGGAGCAGCTGCGGGGCGGAGCAGCTGCGGGGCGGAGCAGCTGCGGGGCGGAACAACTGGGGCCCGGAGCAGCTGCGGCGGAGCGGGCCGGGCGAGAGGACCGAGGCGACGGGCCGGAGTCGCGTCGCCGTTGATGAAGTCCCTCTCGGACGAGACGGCCGGGTAGAAGAAGCCGGCTGCGGGCGCCGCCTTGACGGTCGCCGCCGGCCACGCAGCAGCAAAGTAGTCGGCGTGCAGCAGGACGCCGATCCCGCCCGCGCTCGAGCCAGAGAGGAGCACGAGCGAGGGCGCCAGCGCCGGGAGGCTCCGGCGCAGCTGCGCCAGCGTGGCGTTGATCAAGTTGTGGCCCGCGAAGTAGCCGCCGCCGAGCGCGTGCGAGGGCGTGAGCCGCGTGCCGGAGTGCATGTCGGCAGAGCAGTATGGCACGAAGAGCTTGTTCCAGTCGTGAAAGTGCGGGTTGACGCTCGAGTCGTCACTTAGCTCGTCCTCTCCCAGGCGCTTCGTTTTGGGCCATCCGGCCGATCCCCTCCCAGCGCCACCGTCCCACACGGCGCACTCCGTGGCTGACCGGCACTCGCCGCCACCCTGCAGAAAGACAACCAGCTTGGTGCCGTTCTGCGCCGACGAGGCGGCGCGCCAGTAGAATCCGCCGCCCGAGCCGTCAAGGCAGCGAGCACCGGCGCTGGTGACGAGGTCGGCATCGAGCCGAATGAGCGAGGCGTGACCCATCGACTGGCTGCGACCAGCGAGCATCCTCCCCACTACTCGCTTAATGTGGGTAAACCATAGTAGCGTCCACGCTAGTATGAACAGAGAAACCCATAAGAATCGCCGCTGCAGTCCACGACGAGCCAGCCTGCTGCCGGCTCGCACGGCAGCCTCTTCCTCTCGACCAGCCTCAACTTCCGTACAGTCAACATTTTGTCGCTGCGTGCTCGTGGCGAGCTGTGGCGGCGGTCGAAGTTGGCCCAGATTCGGTGACGAGCGCCGGACGATAGTAGTGTCTCTGTTCGCCCTGTGCATGTCAGGCCAGGCTGCAGCAGGGCACTACCATCGTGCTGCCCTGCTGCAGCCTGACTTTGCCCACTGTGCACAGTCGCCAGAGCACCACCACCGCCCGGCATCGTGTCACGGCGAGCTTCTTCTGCGCCCGCTCGCGAGGCTCTCGCGCTGGTACACTTTGGCCATCTGCTGCTCGCGTTCGGCGAGCTCTTCTCCGCACGCCTGCCACGGTGCCGTCACCACACACCTTCTGGCCGGCCTGAGCCGCGCGGACTCGCCGGCGGGGGCAACGTGTCGACCTCTCTCTCTGGTGCACCACGGGCCGCGACGGCCTGCTAGCAGCCGGCGCGAGGAGGCAGTGTGCCGGCACAGTCGAGCCGGAGCATCGGGTTCTTGATGCTTGTGGGGTCAAGTTTGACCTTATGTGGCATAATATGCAACAATAAGGCTATGCTATCTCCCGGCTTTTTGAGATATGATCCCTCAAAGTCGAATTATGGTTTACTGGTGACCATAGTAGCGTCTGTCCTGTTTGCGATATCTTCACACGAATACTTTAAAGTCTCGACAATCACTAAGCTGCTTATATGGCACCGCAGCGGCTCCCTTGGGGATGCCTGAGGCCACCCCAACCACTCACCAAGCCTTACGTGGACGAATTCAAACCTACTTTTATGGTTTACCTACACTAAGGGAGTAAGTGCGCTTCTTAGGATTCCTAGCTAGCTGGGTGTGAGGAATGACTGCACACCAAGCTCCAAGTGCCTCACGACACCGCGTACAGTACTAGCCCGCCTCAACCCACTTTACCCATGTGCATACTATTATACTAGTAGTACTCGAGTACGGGACTGGCAGAGTAAAGGACACAGCAGGCGGCCCCCTCAGGGGCCGTCGTCATCGAACAAGCAAGTCGATCTCTGCACAACAAAGACTTGTAAAATTCTCCCACACACAACACTAGGCTGCACGGGCGGGACGCGGCGGGAGTCGGGACTGGCGCGCACTGCCAGTCTGCCACTGGCACTAACACAGGTAAGAAAGAATTCCCATTACGCACTGAAAGAATTCTAACAACAAGTCCCTCTCACAGAAGATTGGCGCGGACTGTGGCACAACAAATGGCACAGAAAAAAATTACAGCGGGGGGGGGCTGGCGCGCGCACTGGCTGGCACTAACACACAGGTGTACACCACGAAGAAAGAATTTAAACAACACAACTCCCTCTCACAGCAGACAGGCTCGACACAGGTGCGAACTGGCGCGTGCTAGCACTATCACAGGCACACTAGAAGAAAGAATTTCTGTTTTCTAACTTTCTTCAAAGAGAGATACGTCCAGTCACACAGCACGCTGGCACGACACGGGTGTGGATCGGCCGGCGCACACTAACTAGCAAGCATGGACGATCGGTCGGCACGCCGGGGGCCCACGAAGTGGCGGCCGACACGGAGGAGCATGGACCCGTTCCCCCGAGAGCGGACGTGGTACGTGGAGGATAGCTAGCCCACACACTCTCTCGGTGTTTGTTCCCTCTCTCTCGGTGTGCGGTGGCGGTAGTCTGTGCCGTTCCCCTCCACGCTCCACCCCTCCTCAGCGCCCTCGCGCCTCGGCGCTCTCAGAGGCGTCTCTCTCGATTTTTCGTCGAAATACGGAACGCTAATTGATCGCGCTTGCGCAAATACACCCATGCAAGAGATAATTAATACAACCCATCTTCGTGACGTCGCTGTCTATCGTGTTGACGTTCCCTCACACGTAGGCCAGCTACGGAACGCAGCTACATACTACATACACGAGAACACGACTAGAACGGCAGCTCCTCCACTGCACCTCGCAACCAAACAGATCGCACGTGCGCGAGGTTAGTGTGGCCGCCGCGCGTCGGCGAAACCTAGGACTTCCCCGGCCCCCAGAGGCAAATTGTGGCGTCGAACGCGCCCGTCGCGAGGCACGTCCCGTCGGGTGACATCTGCATGCAGGAGATGACACGCATTCGTGAGTCGTGGTTCTGGTTCTTCACGTGCGCCGCAACCTTCTTGGCGTACCCCGACTCCGACGAGGCGAGGGGGTCCCACAGGCAGACGTGCCCGTCCTCGTAGGCGACGTACATGGTGCGGCCCGACTGGGAAAAGTCGACCGCCGTCACGTGGTTGTTTTTCCGGCTGTACTTTTGCAGCGCCGCTTGCGCCCGGAGGTCAAAGAGGAAGACGCTGCCGTTCTGCGTGCCGGCGGCGACCGCCGTCCCGCTCGGGAAGAAGGCGCAGCCGTTGCACTCGCCGACGACGTCGAACTTGTGCGTGCACTCCCCTGATCGCATGTCCCACACGCGAGCTGTGCCGTCGCTGGACGACGTGCAAAACGCCTGGCTGCCGGGAACGCCCGCCGGGAAGCGGATGCACGAGCAGTCGCCCTCATGGCCGCGGAAGACTTGCTTAGCCTTCCACGTCGCGACGTCCCACAGGGCGGCCTCCGCGTCGCCCCCCGCCGAGAGCATCTGCGACTCGTCGGGAAAGTGGAGGCTCGAGATGTAGCCGTCATGCTGCTCCAGCTGCCGAGTCATGGAGCACTCGGCGCCGTCGCCGTCGGTCGACCAGACCGACACGACGTTGTCCATGCCCCCGATCGCAACGAGGTCGCGTGTGGGGTGCATCGCGACGGCAATGATGAACGGGCGCGATATGACCTTCCTCTTCATGGGGACCCGGTCCGATGCGAGGTCCCAAATGATGGTCTTGCTCCCCTGGTCCGACGCGATGAGCGAGCGTGAGTCGGCGCCCCACGACATGCCCTGCACCTTGCGGATGTGGCCGTGCAGGCGCCGCTTCTGCTGGAGGGCCTCGATGGGGTACAGGTTGGCGCGCGGCGGCAAATCCTTGATCTGTCGAGCGCGGTGCCGGCCGTGCGTCGTGAGGCACTTGGGGGCGTGTGTGTGGGCTCGCCGGTGTGTGAGGCGCCTGGGTCGTGAACGCCGCATCCCTCTTCTCCTTGCAGTACCGCTCCGCTTCGCCCGCGGAGACCATGCGTCGGTTGGATTGCACTCGCGCGTGCCAACACACAAGAGACCAATCGGGCAGCGCACTGCGAAGTTGTCGACGTTTCACTTTGCCGGCGTGTCGAGCTCCTCGCTCCTCGGACTGTTCTTCACCTCCCTCCCTACCTACCTACCTACCTTCCTTCCTTACCGCTCATCGTCTCCGAGCGAACCCCTTTCCCCCCTCTTTTCTTCGTTCTTTCTCCTCCCACGCTGCATGGCCGCGCATCAATCATGCTGCGCTTCGTTCGCGAGCAATGAGAGAGAGAGAGAGAGAGCCGTTTGAAGGAGTGCCCGCCCCTTGCTTGCGCTCTTGCGCTCGCCTTCGCTTCTGCGTCTGTCTGTCATCTGCCTGCTCCGCTCCCGCTCTCCGAAAGAAAGAAAGAAAGAAAGAAAACAGATCCCCCAAGGGTCGCAGAATTTTTTTCCGTGAAGAGCGCGCGGCGGCGTTTTACCTCCTCTCTCACTCTCTCCCACTCTCCACCGATGGGGAAGGGAGACTCTCAGCGGACGGGCGGCTCGCGAGGCGGGCGCGACCAGTTCGACTGGGACCAGGTGAGGGAGGACAAGCACCGCGAGAACTACATCGGTCATGCGGTCCTCGCGCCCAAGGGCCGCTGGCAAAACGGCAAGGACCTCTCGTGGTATGCGAGGGCGCGCAAGGACGAGTCGCTTGCGAATCTGCGGGAGGAGCGGGCGCGCGCGAGGGAGATGGAGGACGACATGATGCGCGCCCGCCTGGGCATGGCGCCGGCGAAGCGTGGGCCTGCGGTCGGGAGCAGCGAACTGCAGCCGCACGAGCGGGCAAAGCTGCTCGCGCGCGGCGGCGGTGGGGAGGAGGATGGAGAGACGGGCGAGAAGGGCGACGCGCGCTTCGACGCGGAGAGGATCAGCGGCGTCGGCTCCTTCGCGATGGCCCGCCGCGCCGAGGTGGGCATGATCAAGTCCAAGATGGCGCCGCTGGACAGGCTGGAGGGGGCCGGCACAGCCCCTCCTCCACCGCCTCCTCCGCCAGAGGCGGCGGCGGCGGCGCCCAGAGCCAGCGGGGGCGGCGGGGGCGGGTTCATAGCGGCGGCGCGCTTCGATGGTCCGCGCCCCGGCTGGGCGTTCAAGATGGGCGAGGCGGGGCTCGGGTACTACCGCGAGGGCGGCGGGGGCGGCGATGGGGAGGAGCGCGAGGAGCGGCGGCGCGCAAAGAAGGCTGCGCGCAAAGAGGCGAAGCAGGCCAAGAAACGGGAGAGGAAAGAGCGGAAGCAGGCGAAGAAGGAGGGGAAAAAGCGCAAGCGGCAGCGGGACGAGGGCGGCGGCCGAGGGTCGCGCCGGCCACGCGGCAGCAGCAGTGGCAGCAGCAGCAGCAGCGAGGAGGGCGGTGCCCGGAGGAGGCACGACTCCGACAGCGAGGAGGCGCCGCGCCGGCGGCATGACTCCTCCGACTGACGGCGAGACCGAGAGGAGCCGGCACGGGCGCGGAACGTTCGGGCGCAGCGCCACGTAGCGCCGTACCCGCAGGCGCGCAGCACTGTCTGTAGACTGAGTGGCTATAGAGACGGTGTAGGCGGCACGAACTTGAACGTAAAACAAGATAACGTCATATTGTGGCAGTGACTTCAGACGGACACGCCCCGGCTCTGCCTCTCCGGCCACTCTCGTCCTCCCGCGTCCCATCGCCAACGGTGGCCTGCAGAAACTGGTAGAACTTCTCGTCGGGCACGAGGCCGCTCTGCAAAAAGTTGGCGCATCGCGACGCCAGCCTCTCGGTGTCGACGTGGGGCAGCGCCGGCGGCTGGTGGGCGATCGCCTCGAGCAGCTCCGTGCCTGCGGCTCCGCCGTACGCCCTCTGCAGCCTCACGAGGTTCGTAGGCAAGTGCGGAGAGGGGAAGTCGTGCGACCCCGCGCCGTGCGGCCGCGGCAGCTCGCCGGGCAGCGTGCCGTAGAAGGGCCGCACCTTTTCGTCTTCGTCGCGGAGGTCGACGAAGCCGGTGAGGATGTAGCGGCAGCCCTCCGTCACGGCGACGCCCTCGTGGTGCTGATAGCCGCAAAAGAGGAGGCAGTGGCCCTGCGGCACGGACAGCGCCTCGGTGGCGTGTGCGAAGAGCGTCCCGCCGCCCGTGAACTCGCCCGGATCGTTGAGCTGAATCACAAAGCTGAAGCAGCTCTCGTCAAAGTGGCTGCCGAGCGAGGCCTGCCCGCCGCCGCCGCCGCTGTACTTGACGACGAACTGGTCGCGCACGAAGAGGCGCCGCTGATCCGTAGCGAAGAGGCGCTCGATGGACGGCAGGATCTCCGCCTCCAGCAGCGCCGCCATCTCGGCATCGAGCCACGGCAGCGCGTGCACCTCGACGTCGGTCGTGGGGAAGTTGGCGTGGCGGTCGACGGTCCACTCGAACCCCGGCCGCGTAATGTCGCCGAGCAGGCGCCGTCGCGTGCTCTCGGAGAGCAGCGGCCGCACGCCGACTAGCTGCGTCCAGTCGCGCGCTCCCTTTGAGATGAGCATGTGGCCATCCGGCGAGGCGATGCTGCGGTAGCCGGCAAAGCGTGGGGCGGCGGTGGAGGAGGCGCGGCCGTGTGCGGCGGAGAGAAGGAGGAGGAGGAGGAGTCGGCCGCACTGCATCAGCTGTGAATCGAGCGGCAACCAACAGCTCTCAGGACCCCCCGGTGCTGGGGTGCTGCCAGCAACCAACCAACTCACCGGCGAGCGGAGCGAGCCAAAGAGCTGGGGCCAAATTCATGAATGGCTGTGAATGAACGTCAACGCCGCCCGCAGCATCGAGCGGCACGTCCTCCCCACAACCAGCGGCGTGTATTGCACCATAGGTACCGCTGCCGACGGGCGACGTGCACGGGACACAGGGACGGGCGAACCACGTACCCGAACAAGCATGATCCAGTTCCAGAGAACGGGGCATTGCACCTACATGGATCATGGTGCGGGACCTGGGGCAGCAACCAACAACCTGGATGGAGACGAGGTCCTGCGCAACCGACGCCAACCAGCAGCGTTCACAGCACAGTGCGAATCTAGGGTTGCAACCTGGTAAAAAGACGGCTCGCAGAGATACTCGGGTAGTATACCTGTGGGGGGTTATTCTTCACACCGCATTTTACGCCCCTCTTCACACCTCTTCGCGCGCTGCAACTCGCTGCTGCCTTCTTCAGAAGAGCAAATCAGAGGAGCAATGATTCGGCAGATAGCGCTGCTCCAGCTGCAGCCTGCGACGAAGGAGACCATTCGGTGTATGGACCCGTCGGGCCGAAGCCCCGCCCAGACTCCCTTCACACACTCTCTCTCTCCTCCCGTGGCGTTGTCCCAGAGTCCGGAGGTCCCGTCCGTCCCCCGTCTTGTGACCGTCTCCGTACCACCAAGACTCGACCTACAATCCCAGAGTCGGCCGCCGGGGCGGGCGTTTGCCCGCCCAGGACGCTCCGACACCGCTTGCGATTCACTCTTTCCCCTGTTCGACGGACGCGGTCCGGTTGGCTCCTGCCACCGACCTCCAGCGCCCGAGCACGCGCCGAGGAGCTTCTGCAAACCAACCGCGTCGCCAGCGCCCGCTTTGCATGCTGCGCCTCCTCCGCATCTCGCTCGCAAGCCTCATAATGCTCACCTGGAGAGGGAGGCGAGGGGGAGGGGGAGGGGGATGGAGGGGAGTGTGAGGGGTATGGGGGCGAGGGAATGGAGGGAGAGAGGAAGAGCAAGGGCGAGAGGGGGCAGGGGACTGGTCGATGGCATTTGGCATACTAGGGGGGGCAGGGTAGTGGGCGGCGATCGCCGCATACCGTCCTATGGCGGCGAGTATCGCTACGCAGGGAGGACAAGGACGTCGACGTGCGGCTGCTGCTGTTCGAGTCGTTCGGTGGGTTTGGGAAGGGGGTCGGCGAGATCCTCTGGGGGGCGGCGAACGCGCTGCAGAACAAGCTGACGCGGGCCCAGTACCTCGATGAGGTGACTTGGACCACCAAGAGCTGGCTGGGGCTGCAGAAGCAGCGCATCTCAGTCGTTCTTCACACGGCAATCGCAGAGCAGATTGTGAATGAGCTTGCCTGCGGCGAGGGCGGTCGAGTGCACGGACGGAGCTAAGTGCCTCGCCGTCCTCGCGGGAGTCGCTTAGGCGGCTCCAGTGGTGTACCTGTGTTAGTGCCAGTGCGCGCCAGTCCCGTGCCCAGTGTTGTGCGAGGGAGTTTTGTTGTAAAATTCTTCCCAGCCAAGCCCAAGGCACGGTGGGAGAGGTGTTGTCACGGACACGGTGCTCGGTGGTCGGTGCGTGCGAATTATCGCATGTATTCGCACTCGCTGCGCAGCCAGTGCGCAGCCTGATGCGGTACTCGAGTAGGGACCAATGCCTCCTGAGTTGTATGTATGTAGGAATCCTACAAGCACCCTCCCTAGCGCACGATCCGTTTCCCGGCAGCTAGAATTCTTCCTGGCAAGGCGCTTTCCAGTATGATCGGGATCGGGCTACGGGCTAGAGAGCCCTGACTCCTAGGGGGGGGTGCGCGTTCGCAGGGAAAGGGCCGTAAAGTAAACACGGGTCTCCGAGGGTTAGCTCCGCGCTCCAGGTTTCCCCTAGCAGCAGAGCGCCCCCTCTACTCGGAGCTAGTAAACACTCGACACGGACTCGACGCCCATCAGTTGCCGCAGTTTTTCTGTGACCCACCACCTCTCCCTTGTGTTTTGTCTGGGGAGGGGCTTCTCCTGCGGAGTCGTGCGTGCGCAGGGCTCCTCTTTACAACTCAAGTCTTCTGGGAAGCATTTTTCCAAAAGCCCCAAGGGGGTGGAGTTCGCCGTCGAAGGGACACGTCCAGCGATCGCCGCCACGATCCCCTCACCGATTCGAGGCACGTGCTGGCTCTGTGCTGGCGATGCACAGGTTGCTCCTCTACGCTCTCGCTGCCATGAACGGCGGTCCCTTCTCGTCCGACCCAGTGGTGCAAGAGGACTACATTTCCCCTCTTCCCGATGCTCTGCGTCGCAGCCTCATGGCCGTCCACGCATCCGGCCGATCGAAGCACAGCGCCGTCCCGTGGCGTCCGGAGATGGATGCCTTCGTGCTGCTGCGCCACGTTCGAGACGGCATCTCGTTGCCAAAGGTGGCAGAGCAGTGGCCGTTTGAATCCGCCACCAAACGAAGCAAAGATGCAATCAAGTGGCGATGGAAAAAGGTTCTCAAAAGACTCGACGCTCTCGACGACCTCCGACTGATCTGTGGATCCTGCGACGAGCGCGACGAGGCGGAGACGCAGCTGAACAGCACCGAGATCAGCCTGCAACCGTGGGTCGAGGACGCTCTCGTGAAGCTGCACGCGCGAAAAAACGTGTCGATGAGCTCAAACTACACTCCGTGGACGATCGAGGAGGACCGCCTTCTGCTTCACACGTACCAGAGCGGCGCAAAGATCAACGAGATACGCGTTGGTGTCCGCAGCTACAAATCAATCAAGCACCAGCTACGCCGACTTCAGAACGTCACACCACTGGTACGCGACGCGCACCACAAGAGCCGTTGCGACCCAGAGGCGCCGTTTCAGTACCTGCAGCACGACATCTGGACGCCGATCGACTCGACCCTCGCTCTACCGCCGTGCGCGCAGATCGACTGGATTCGCGGCGTCGCAAAGGTGCCTCCCTTACCCTGTTCGCCTGCACGCGCGCGTGATCATTCGGCTATCTCCAACGACTAGTGATCCATACCTCCGAAACCCGCATCTCCTCTGTCATTCATCACCAATGATAATCATATCGGACCCCACCGTGCCCGAGATTTCTTCAACATACGTCACTGACCTCGCGACCGACGGCAGCGCCGAGCTAGACCCAGACGGCCTCCCAACACCCTCCTCCGCTACTGACACTATCTCTCTCCTCGCCATCCCGACCCACCTCACTCAAACGCCGCGCCGCGCTGACAGGCCTGAGACTACACGCCTACACACCACGCGCACACGTATCGCAGTCCCGTTAAGAAACTCCCTCGCACGACACTAGGCACCACACCCCTCTCCTTAAAATCCCTGTGTGGTGGCGGCGTGCCGTCCTCCCATCCCTCCCTTGACACTCGACACGGACTCGACGCCCATCAGTTGCCGCAGTTTTTCTGTGACCCACCACCTCTCCCTTGTGTTTTGTCTGGGGAGGGGCTTCTCCTGCGGAGTCGTGCGTGCGCAGGGCTCCTCTTTGCTTTCTTCTACTCCCTACTATCATCTCGTTCCCGTCCTACCAGAGAAACACTTCACACCGCACTAAATTTAGACCGCGAGCCCTCCTTCTTTGGTGGGAGAGGAGGAGGAGAGCATACAGCACGCCCCTCTTTACACCGCGGCCCGCATGACGAAGTACTGGTACTGCGGCAGCGACCCGCCGAAATTCGTGCGGGACCACGTCATCTCAGTCTACGCGCCGCTCAAGCCGACCATGTGCTACTCCACCTCAGACTCGCCGTCGGGCGACGAGGACGCCCGCTTCTGGCAGTCCGAGGAGGAGTGCAGCTGCATGCCTTCTCCGGCCGCGCCTCCGCCTTCGCCGCGCCTGCCGACAAAGATCTACTTCTGCGGGCAGCCAGGCGCGCGCCCACGCCGCACACTGCGGCGCATACTGCGCCGCCCTTGCGCACCGCACCCTCTGCGCGCGAGCCACGCAAGGCCACAGACAAAGGGCCGGCCCCCGCTCGCGAGCGCGTTGCCGACCGGGGCCAGAGAGTGGGTCCTCAGCTCTGACCACGCTTGCCCCGAACGCGAGGCCGCGCGCCACACATCCACGCCAGCCCTGTCCGCGCGCCGCCGCATAGCAACGCCCCGCGCCCGCTCAGGCGTCTGGCCAAAGTTTGACCGCGCGCTGAAGGCCAACAAATGCTACTTTTCGACGAAGCTGCAGAAGCAGGAGGTGATGGACGCAGGCGTCAACGTCTATCCCGACGAGCAGTCGTGCCAGTGCCATCCGCTGCCCTCGCCGCCGCCGCCGCCGCCGCCGCCGTCGCCGCCGCCGCCTTCCTCACCGCCGATGCCGCCGCCGCCGCCGCCGCCGCCGCCGCCGCCACCCGGACCGCCGCCTCTGCCGCAGTCGCCGCTGGCGGCCTCACCGCCGCCCGCCGCGCGCGACCAACCGCCGTCCGCCGCCTCTGTCGAGAGCAGCACCGCCTCGGCTCCCGTCGCCGCTGCGCTTGCTGCCGCCACGCCCGCCGCGACCGCGCCCGCCTCGCTGGTCGCGCCCTGGGCGGCGGCCCGCGCCTCGAGCCCGTTTTCTGTCGTGGCTGCCGGCGGCGTCGCCGGCGCCCTCCTCCTCCTGGCTGTGGCGGTGCTCCGCAGCGTGCGCCGCCGGAAGGCACGCACCGCCCTCTTGGTATGACGGCCGCGGAGAGGGCGGCCGCCGGCGCCACACCGCGCTACAGCTGCGGGTGGAGCGCCGCGTCTTGGTCTCTAGCTGCGGTGGAGCGCCGCGTTTCGCTCCGCGAGTGCATGCAGGGCCGCCACCGCGTGCGGAGGTGCGGCTCAGCGAGAGAGTAGATGAGAGCTGCGAGATAGTGTGACCTGGGTCCTGGCGCCCCGATAGTACCGGTGGTGGATGTGGCAGTACGGGCCAATAACGGTTGTTGTTGTCTACGTTTCTCGTAAGGTGTGCGAAAAGACCGTGCGGCACCACGCTGCACGCACCCCCCCAGCCTCCACGTCAACACTCACACGAAATTCTCCGACAAATATCGGCTACCCGGGGGGGCTAATCCCCTATCCGTATCCCGCCGGGGGGTCGGAGCAGCTCATCGTCGTCGCACGTCGGCGGGGCGTCGGCCGCATCGCGCGCGGAGGCGGGAGGGCAAAAGTACTCTACGACGGACGAACCGCGGAACAGAGAGGGGCAGCGCGGGGCGCGGGCGCGCCCTCGCGCGAGTCGCGGCGCCCTCAGCCCTCACCCTTTTACTGCCTCGCCCGCGGCCGCGGTGAGGAGGACGATGTTGCGCCTGTGCGCGAGCTCGTCCGGTCCGTGGTACTTTAGCTCGTCGAAGATCTCGCGCGACTGGCGGCCCGCCAGCGCGGCGCACGCCTCGGAGCCATAGTTGACGACTGCACGCGCGAGCTCGCGGCCCGCCGAGTCGAGCACGCGCACCGCGTCGCGCTCGCAGAACGGGTGCGTCACCGCGGACACGCCCGCGAAGAAGAGCGAGTTGCCGCGCGCCAGAGCCTTGCAGGCGCCGGCGTCGAGCGTGAGGGTGCCAGAGGCGGGCGGAAGCGCGAGCAGCCAGCGCCTACGGCTCCGATCGCACGGTCTCTCGCCGCGCAGCCGGCTGGGGGGAGCCGGGCCGCCGCTCGCTTGTGTGACGCGACGGAGGACGGCTGCGGCAGGATGCGGGTGCCGACGTCGCAGGCTCCGCCGAGCACCGCCGCCACCGCGCCGGGCTCCTGCGCCGAGAGGCGGGAAACATGTCAGAGCAGTGTCGTGGGCGAGGCGTCGTGGACATGTCAGAGAAGTGCCGGGCTCCTGCGCCGAGAGGCGGGACGGTAGGGTTAGGGTTGGGGTTGGGGTAGGGTTAGGGTTACGGGCTCCTGCGCCGAGAGGCGGGACGGGGTATGGCGGAGGGTGTGGCCGAGGTGTGTAGCCGAGGTGCAGCCGAGGGGGCACGTTCGAGGCGCATGCGGCCTCGAGGCGCATGCGGCCTCTCCCTCCGCCTCTCCCTCCGCCTCTCCCTCCGCCTCTCCCTCCGCCTCTCCCTCCCCTTCTCTCCCGCGGCGTCTGCCGGCATCGCACCTGCGCCGAGTGGATGACGGTGGTGACGCCCGCGGCGGCGGCCAGCCGCGCGGCGCGCAGCTTGGTGGCGATGCCGCCCGTCCCCCACGCGGACCCGCTGCCTCCGCCCCCGGCCGCCGCCTCCTCCGCCCTCGCCAGCGCCTCACACACGTCGGCCACCTCTCGGATCGGCTCCGCCGGAGGCTGGCCCGGCGGCGGCGCGACGTGCGGGTTGGCGGTGTAGAGCGCGTCGACGTCGGTCGCGAGGAAGAGGTGCGACGCGCCGACGAGCACGGCGACGAGGGCGGAGAGCGTGTCGTTGTCGCCGAACCGCAGCTCCGAGATTGCGACCGAGTCGTTCTCGTTGACGACCGGGATGACGCCGCGCCGAAGCAGCTCGTCGAGCGTGGCCTGCGCGTTGCGGTAGCCCGAGCGCGAGTCGAGCGCGTCGGCGGAGAGGAGGACCTGCGCGATCGGCTGGCGCAGCGCGGAGAAGAACTCGTCGTAGTAGCGCATGAGGTGCGGCTGGCCGATGGCGGCCATCGCCTGCAGCTCGGCGAGCCGCTTGGGCCGCTCGGCGAGCCCGAGCCGCTGGCAGCCGACGCCGACCGCGCCCGAGGAGACGAGCACCACGTCGTGCCCGCGCGCACGCAGCGTCGCCAGCGTCTCGACGAGGCACGCGAGCGTCGAGAGGGCGAGCGTGCCCGAGTCGCCGCGCAGGATGGACGAGGTCCCGACCTTGACCACGATGGTGCAGCGGCCGCCGTCGCCGCCGCCCGGCGCGCGGTCCCGCGACAGCTTTGGGCTCACCGGCGGGTGGGACGACATCGGAGCGCTCAGCGGAGAGCCGACACCTTCCCACGGCCAGTTTCGCGAACTCCACGTGCTTCGACTCTGGCAGACTCTCTCGAGGTTCTCGAGGTGAGCACTTGAGCACTGGATAGGGCCGATTCCGGCGGTGTGACCGATCGAGCTACAAGAGGAGCTTGGTCAGCAGGATCCGGGTTAGCCTGTGCACTGCCTCACTGGGCCTGAGATCACTCGACGCTTCCCGTCACCGTCTCGGATTTATGTGGGGTCGAACCACTCCGGGATGGGCAACCCCATCAATTTTCGTTTCGTATCTCCCCTGCACCTGCAGGAGATGGCGAGAGAGGGATGAGTGGAGCTGGGCCGGCAGGGGAGAAGAGGAAAGGCGGGGGCGGGGCAGGGAGGAAGGGAGGGGGAGGGGGGGGGGGGGGGGGCGCTTGAGGCGGGGGGCGCAGAGGAGGGGGGGGAGGGGGGGCTCTGATCACTGATGATCGAAGACTGCATTCATAGCAACTTGTGGACGTATTACACACACAAAGACTCATAGCAACTCGCAGACGTATTATACACACAGGGACCGAAGTCCGCCCAGGCTACCCGGATCACTTCAGACAGCCTCCCCCCGTACCCGCCCGGACTCCCTCTGGCTGCGCGCCAGTCGCTCCTTCCGCCTCGGAGTTCGCCTCTTCACCCCCCTCCCCCCCGCTCCCCCGCAAGGGGCGGGGGGGGGGGGGGGGTCTTCTGGCGAGACAGGCAGACATAGCTGAGCCCTGGTCTGACAGCCTGACAGCAAACCCCGGACAGCGCCTGACAGTGCCCGACAGCCTGACAGCGCTGACAGCACTTTCTCTGACAGTCTGACAGCACGTGTCTGACAGCCTGACAGCAGAGTCTGACAGGCAAGGGGTCCCGTCGCTGTCAGGCCCTCACCTGACAGCCTGACAGCTGCCTGACAGCCCGACAGCACACAGTGGCCTGCCTGGCCTGACACGCGCGCCGCGCCACTGGCAGCTCCAGCGCAGAGTACCTGCGCCAGCTCTCCATGAGTCAGCGCAGCAACGGGGTCTTCATCAACGACCCCAAGGGCCTCTTTATCCTCCGGTGGTACCGTGAGGTGAAGGGTGACGGGACCCCCCCAGACGGCCCGCGCTACCAGAACAGAGCGTGCAAGTACTACAAGCTGACGAGCGACAACGATGGGGAGGCCTTCCGCTGGACCAGCAACTACCAGATCATCAGCAAGGTGTACCTGAAGAAGCACTCCACCCTGCCTCTCTGCTATTCTCTCAGTGCGGCAGACAAGAAGATGGTGACGTCCACCATGAAAAAGATGGTGGGACCGGAGGCAGAGTAGAGGCTAGAGTATGTATGTGTAGTAGAGTCCTGCTGGTCTCCTCTTGATAGTGTCATAAGTGTGGCTGGTGTGTGTCACAGCCTGACAGCACCCCGACAGCACCACCTGACAGCACCTGACAGCAACAGCCCACCGTCTGACAGCAGCAGCAGCCTGACAGCTCTGACAGCTCTGACAGCGTCTGACAGCAACACCCGACAGCTCTGACAGCACCTGACAGCTACAGAACCCCTCGCCTGTCAGACATGCACCCGACAGCACCCGACAGCACTGACAGCACCTGACAGCTGGTCTGACAGAGGCACCTGACAGTGCCTGACAGCTGCCCGACAGCCCGACAGATCACCTGACAGCACCTGACAACCTGACAGCCAGGGCTCAGAGACATAGCAACTCCGAGTCGTACTCCGTCCCCATTCCATCACGCGGGCACGCATCCCCAGTGCCGATTTCGGGCAGCCTACCCTTTACGCCGGGCGGCATCCCTTTGGTTGTGTGTTTTCTGGCGCTTGCTCCTCGGGTACCGCCCCCCCCCCCCCCAAGCTCTCAGCATCTCTGATCCTCCCCCTTTTCTTCTTTCCTCCCTCCTTTTTCCCTCTCCCTTTTCTTCTTCCCTTTTTTTTTCTTTCTCC